AGTCACGTGATGCCTGCGTAAGCCCGACCTCGGTTACATTGCACAAAAAAGAGTTCACTTTTATTGATGAGCGTATCACTTAATCTCGTTGTACCTCACTTGTCATGCGCGGCTATTACTTTTTAAATTCTTGTTGCTCGGATTAAACTTTCAGTTGTGAGTGCAGCGCTGTGTGGTTCTATTCTTTGTCTCCGTCTTTTTTGTGCGCCGCTTTTCTTTGAATATGAAAAGTCATCACTGCTGAGATAGTAGGCATGAGTATCTTCACTGTCGCTGTCGCTCGCTTGTCTAATTTGCTTCCTGAAGGCGGCCGCCGCTGACACTGCTGGTGCCGGCAGGCGTCCGGGGTGGTCTATATCCACCCCCTTCAAGGGAGCAGTGCAGACCGATCAACCGACTTTAATTGCCACAGAAATACGCCGGAGTTAGCAGAAGTACTTATGCAAAACACACTCCTTCGTCTTCCTCCTGTACATCCAGGAATTGCAATAAACAAATAAGGGAAGTCATCGAGCACTTTATTCATGGTTTGTATACTCAGCTGAAAAAGTGCTTCTTGCGCCTGGCACCAAAAGCACCTTTTCAAAGAAGCCCCGCAAGCAATAAGGCTTGCCGTCTTCCCCTATCGTGAGCGCAGCAGTTACACACCTGTCACGCCTAGCATACGGCACAATACACTGTGGGTCGGTTCCAATAGTCCACCCACCCAGCACTACAAGCAGAGATATGCCTGTCGCATTCAAAAAGTCCCTGCCAAGCACAATGTCGCAACCCAAATCCGGCACGCACAGGAAACATTGTATGCGGCTGCTTGGGCCCATTGTATCTTGCACTTCAGGGATGTGGTTGACCGCGAGCAACCTGTTGCCAGTTCGAGTGCTCGTTTCTGTGTCCGGAGTTTAGCGCTCTTTTCAAATCTTGCCGCTGGTGTTCCAAGCAAGCTCACGCTTGAGCCTGTATTTAGCAGGGCCAGGAATGCATTCTGCCCAGCCCGCACTTTCAGGAGAGGCTCCTTGTTGCCGGCCAATGCCACTACCCGCAGCACTGTCTCGTAGGTGCTTTCCGGAGTAGCACCTACTGTCTCCCATTTCCCAGGCACTGTGAGCGGATATGTTCGATTCTGTTGCATTAGGTAGCAGCGGGGTTGGGCGCTACGCCGACCAGAAAGGCGCCAGCGGGCAATGCGAACGACACCTCTGCAGCGATGGCAGGCAGTTTCACCGAAGTCGAGCCGTTCACATCCTTGCGACTGTGGCGGCGCTGGGAAGCCTTGTATGAGGCCTCCCAGCTAACATCATCTCAATACATAATGCTAACATCATCTTAATACATATAAAAGGAGATGACAAGGACTTGAAGAATTACAGGCCGATCAGCTTGCTCTCTGTAGTATACAAGCTCTTTACAAAGGTAATTGCTAACAGAGTAAAGAAAACATTAGAATTAAATCAACCAAAGGAACAAGCAGGATTTCGAACAGGCTACTCAACAATTGACCACATTGATACTATCAATCAGGTAATAGAGAAATGTTCAGAATATAACCAGCCTTCATAGATTACGAGAAGGCGTTTGATTCAGTAGAAATATCAGCCGTCATACAGACACTGCGAAATCAGGGCGTAGATGAAATATATTTAAACATTCTGGAAAAAATCTACAGGGGATCAACTGCTACCATAGTGCTTCATAAAGAAAGCAGCAGAATACCAATCAAGAATGGTGTAAGGCAGGGGGACACAATCTCCCCAATGCTATTTACCGCGTGCTTACAGGAGGTTTTCAGAAGCCTAGAATGGGAACAGTTAGGGATAAGAGTTAATGGAGAGTACCTTAGTAACCTGCGCTTCGCCGACGACATTGCATTGCTGAGTAACTCAGGGGACGAATTGCAACTCATGATTACGGAGTTAGACAAGGAGAGCAGAAAGGTAGGTCTTAAAATGAATCTGCAGAAAACGAAAGTAATGTACAATAACCTCGGAAAAGAGCAGCGCTTCGAGATAGGTAATAGTGCACCTCAAGTTGTAAAAGATTATGTCTACTTAGGGCAGGTAATAACCGCAGAGCCGAACCACGAGATTGAAATAACTAGAAGAATAATAATAGGGTGGAGCACATTCGGCAAGCACTCTCAAATTATGACAGGTAGATTGCCACTGTCTCTCAAGAGGAAGGTATACAACAGCTGTACCTTGCCGGTACTTAGCTACGGAGCAGAAACCTGGAGACTTACCAAGAGGGTTCAGCTTAAATTGAGGACGCCGCAGCGAGAAATGGAAAGAAAAATGGTAGGTGTAACCTTAAGAGACAAGAAGAGAGCAGAGTGGATTAGGGGACAAATGGGGTATAGGATATCATAGTTGAAATAAAGAAGAGGAAATGGGCCGGGCATGTAGCTCGTAGACAGGATAACCTGCGCTTGTAGTTTTGTCTGTTCAAAGCATTCCTTGATACAGAAAAACGCAATTAAAAAATCGCAGCATATCGACGGAGTGAATGATAATGGGTGAGGCGAAGCTCTGGAGGGTTTCATCGCTAAACTGTGAACCATCCGCGAATATCACCCACTGCAGACGTGACACACTATATATATTTATACAAGAAATTTCATTATTGATAAGTGGTAGCTATACGCCGCTTCCGTTCCCCCTTTACTATAACGGCTTTATGGACGGTCAAGTGATGAATCGGTGATGGGGCATAGCGGGATGTTTGTGAGGACGAAATAGTGGGCAGTTTGCGAAGGTGGAACTATAGGTGGTCACGTACAAACAAGGGATGGACACAGTGGGAAACTCTGTGGTTCTTTAACGCACACCTGGATATAAGTACACGACCATCTTGCATTGCATATTCGCTACTTCTCAACAGTATGGGCTTTATGGTCGCTTAAGTGGTGGATCGGTGATGATGTGTAGTGAGATGTTTGCAAGGTGGCTACGTAGACCAACAGAGGAAGGACAAACTCACACTTTAAGGAGCTTTGTCCCTAAATATCAAAGGCAGAGAGGTTAGCCAGATGCTAGTATTCAGTATGCTATCCTACACTGGGGTTGGGGAATACGGGGTTCAAAGAGAGAGAGTTTAAAAATAAATAAGAGCAAAACACGAATACACACGCACACAATATTGGTTCACTCAGAGGCGTGAAACTTTTGAATTAGGCTGAACAACCCCGGGTGGTCAAAATTATTCAGGAGCTCTCGACTAGGGCGTCCCTCGTAATCAAATTGTGGTTTTGACACGCAATCCCCCAGTAATAATTATGACCCCTCAATCAAAAGAGGATAGTTGATGCACCAGAAACGCATTTCATGCGTGTCGCTGCTTTCATTTACACAGCAAACCGTTCAACCATAGTAGCACTTGTTTCATGTAAATGTGTTATAAATAAATATTTAAAACGCACAGTTATCAGGCACACAAGAGCAATGAAGTTGTTGCGCGAAATATATAAATATTTGTACCACGCAAGTATCTCATAAACAGCACACTAAAGCAATGCGGTTGTTCATGGCTACATGTGGCCTCGCCGCGGTGGTCTACTAGCTATAAGGTACTCGGCCGCTGACTTGCAGGTCGTGGGATCGAATCCTTGATGTGGCGGCTGCGTTTTCGACGGAGGCGAAAATGCTGAGGCCCGTGTGCTCATATTTGGGTCCATGTTAAAGGACCCTAGGTGGTCGAAATTTCTGGAGCCCTTCACTACGGCGTCTCTCATAATTATATGGTTGTTTTGGGACGTTAAACTTCACATATCATCATGGCTACATGTGTGGGAGAATTCATATATTTATGCCAAGAATCATTTTCACATGACACTTTGAAGAGAGGCATGTCCTCTGCAAAAGTATGAATATGTGGAGTTTAATGTCCTAAAACCATCATATGATTATGAGAGATGCCCTAGTGGAGGACTCCGGAAAATTTCGACCACCTAGGGTTCTTTAACCTGCACCTAAATCTGAGCATAAGGGCCTCAGCATTTTCGCCTCCATCAAAAATGCCAGAACGGCAGTTCATTACAAAACACGTTCTATCTATTGCAAGAACCTCTCAGCGGTTTGATGTCACTTTCATCGACAAAATAAAATTCAACACACGCGAACAAAAAAAGAAACATGGCGTCAAAACAGCGTGGTCACGCGTGCCAACAAAAAGATCGGCAGCATGCGCGTTTCTGTCGAGCGTGTCGCCGAGACGGCTGACCAGCGCCATCTAAAAAGGCACTGCTGAAGCTGCCAGATAACTGATAACGGCCCGAACATTATCTCGACGCGACAAGATGGCGCTTTTTCACGCGTTGCGAGGAGGGTGTCAGCACCTGTATATTTTTACACCTAGTTCACGACCAACACTTCACTCTACACTCTGTACATCCTTTATTCTCCGTGGCACACATACAACATGCCCGGCTTCTTTTTCGTTACCTCATCACTTCCGTCTCCCTCCTGCCTCCTTCCGCGAATTCCAGTGCGCACACACGCGCTCCTTCTGTTCACTCGACACTCGCGCCATCACGTCCCTCCACCGTCAACCACACACAGCGTCCGAGACCCGCGCCCAACACAGACGCATTACCTACTCCTACTCATCTTTCACAGATGCATGCTATATAAAGGAAAATTAGATTCTTAACTTTAATAAGAGACGGGAAGAGAGCAAATTGGGTCAGGAGAGAAACGGGGTTTAATGATATCATATATAGTTAAAAGGCACGTAGAATGTAGGCAGGAATGTCTGAATTAATTCCAAGAGAAGAATGTATGAGAAGGAGATGGGAAGCTAGGTGGGCAGATAAGATTAAGTAGTTTGCAGGTATACCGTGGCAGCAGCAAGCACAGGACTGGGTTGATAGGCATGGGATAAACATGGGAGAGGCCTTGGCCCTGCAAAGAAGCGTAGTAAGAATGATGATTATGTACAGTATACGAGAATCTGACAGTATAAAAATGTTGTCTGCGGAGCTGTAGCTTATGTCATGAGCGTGATTGCAGGTGTTGCTGTGCCGGTCTTGCCGCCGACTGGAGACTCTTGTCATCCGCGAGCGCATCTCAACTGCCACCGTGCTTCTTCTGGCCTACCACGGCCGCTCGCTGCGTCGGTTCGTGGTGCGTGGCAACGCCGTCATCAAGAAGTGCGACTGGCCCCGAAACCCGGAATGGAGCGATGAGTTCTACAGCTGGCTACGACACACGGCGCAGTCGTACGACGCAGTCTGCCAGGAGGTATCCCAAATCCTGGGCTTTCCCTGGGCACCCCTAACAGACAAGCAGTTCAAGACAATTGTGTTGCACGAGTCCGGGAGCAGGGACGTCTTCCCGGTGTCGCCACAGAGCTCCATGGGCGACTTCCATTTCCCGGCTGCCGGGCACAGGCTCTCCTTCTCGTCCAGTGGTTCATTTTCGCCCATCTGAAGCTGGCTTCGAGGGCGCCATGACTGTGGTGGGCAACCCCAAACTCAAGTGCACGCGTCACTGTGGCCTTACACGGAAAGTGAACAACCATTGTTAAGGGAACACTAAAAGTACAAACATGAGCTGGATTTGGGGATATTAGAGTTACCTCGAGGAAGCAGAGTTGCGCATATGTTTTTTAAACGCCGCTAGCTCCTGTGCACTGTGAAGAACCTGATGAGCCACCCCTGCAGAGAACCGATTTAACAAAAGGGCTACTTCTGAGCCACCATTATACCCTTAATAGACGTGACCCCCAAAAATCTACTGTTTAGGCTGTGAAGTCAGCTTTCTAACTCCCATGGCACAGATCCAAAAGGAGGCGTTTAGTCTTTCATCGCTACATAGCTGTGGTTGCTAGCCGAACCTATGCACGGGAGCAGTGACTCTACGGAATATGAGCACGTAGCGCCTGCTTTTGTCGTCAACAGCGGTGGCCTGTCGTAACTGAATGGAAAATAGGTGAAAAAAAACGACAAAACCTGACAAATAAAGCTAATTATCAGCTGATTACATAGCAAGGACCCACTGGAGAGAGAGAAGCGAGAAAAAAGGAAGGCAGGGAGGTTAACCAGATGCTAGCATCCGGTATGCTACCCTACACTGGATTGGGGAATAGGGGGTTGAAAGAGAAAGAGAGAGTTAAAAAATAAATAAGAGAAAAACACCGACACACACGGATACACAAAATCAGTCCACTCAGAGGCGTTCCGACAGGCCAGTAGTTCGCAAGAAGCCCAATAGTTCGCAAGAAGCCCAGTAGCGCTTGCACGGCTTTCTTCTGTGAAGATGAGTCATGACGATGGCGCAGTATACTTTCTTCTGACAGCGGCTGGTCACCTAACCTGTTTAGTGTATTAGGAAGGTGTTGTCTTTCTAGGTTGTATTCTGGGCAGTCACAAAAGATATGTCGAATTGTTTCTTCATCTCCGCAGTGTGCACAGTCGGCGCCGCGGTGTCGGCTATCCCTATGCGGAACACGTACGCACGGGTAAACGCGACTTCAAGACCCGCTGGAACATTCTGGTAAAATTAGTCTGGCACTACAAACTGCATGGCTTGCCATAGCGTTTACAGTGGGAATGGAATCTCACAATGGGACCCATATATTTCAAATGGGTGGTGTTCATTTGTTTTTGGAAACCATATGCTTTATAGTGCGGTACTGCGATTTTTCCGGAAGGCTCCAATGCGTCTCTCCTACATAGAACTAAAGTCGTTTTTGAGAACTAGCTTTTTTTCATTTCATTTTTCATTTATTCCACCTTAAAGGCCCGGAGGCATTACATAAGGGGGGGCGGCGTACAAGGTATGTCGAACAACTCAACAAAACTCGAAGGGTTCCAAAACGTAAACATTCAAAGAACAATGAAAAATTCGTCAGATATATTTTCTGCTTTCTTTCCACTGAATTATTGGGCGTGACGTACAGATGTCCCCAAGTCCTGGGAATGAATGAAATTATTTTAGATCGCTAATGTAGTCCTTCAAAGCCCTTTCTATTTTAGGGACGAGTAGTTATATATTTCGTCGCACCAAACAGGTTCGGCAGCATTCTGTGTATTCTACTAACTGATGATCTTCACCAACCTTTGTATAGTGTTTGAAAGATTTACTTTTGATTACCTTACCATACGAGTGATATTTTAGGTTGACTTTCGTGAAAGTAAGTTAGTAATTCAAAAAGAATCACTCCGACCTAATGCCACGAAAATACAACAAAATTGCATAGACTCTTTGTCATCTATACGGGTGGCATCTTCAGTATGCACTAATACTAAATAAGTGGAGGTCGACCAGTCCCCTGCATGACACATGCGTCCCTGTAAATGTCTAATAGAGGGAAACGGTCCCCTGCCGCGGCCCTCTATCGGACATTTACAAAGACGTATGTGTCAAGCAGGGGACTCGTTGACCTCCGCTCATTCAGTGTGAGTGTATACTAAGGATGCCACCCGCATAGGTTACGAAGCATCTGTGCAGTTTAATTGTATTGTAATTGCATAGCTGTTAAAGGGGCCGGCTTGAAATTTATACATATTATGAGGCGTGATCATGGTCACGGTAAAGCGCTCACTAAAGGTCATAGGCTCATAGCAAAGCCAGGAGTGCTCAAACTTGGAATAATGTGAACAAACAGTGTCTAAAATATTTAATTTATCATCGCTGAAACATTTCGCAAACATGGGACTGACTCTAGCGGGTTCCACGACAGGGCGCCACCACCTCACCCAGCGAGCTAATGCCCCTTTCTCTATGTCGGCGCTGCACTGGCCTCGGGCTGAGTCGCTGACTATATCGAATGTGGGTTCTAACCATAGAGTTTCCTAATATACGCTAGAGGGAACTGTGTCGCTAGTGTCTATGGGAGCTGCAACGCACGGCGCTAGTGAGCAAGGGAATGATGGGTAGTACACATTTGTCTAAGCTTCGTACTTCTGGTCTGCTTTTGGCTCCGTGTGTGTTCGTGTGGCTTGAAGCTGTTTTCTCACGAAACAAAAATCAGCAAACGTTCAGCGGTTGCGCTTCACCACCCTATTTTTTTCAACTTACCTTTTCAAACTGGGTCACGATGTTCAAAAGGTTTGAATCTTTCTTTCAAAACAAAACCGAAACACAGCAATAAACGAAGCCGCAAGTACGATTCGCCGCCCGCAAGTACGAAGACTAGGCAAATGTGTGTACTACCCATCATTCCCATGGTCGCCGAACGATCGCAGCGCCAGAGTCCCCTCTAGTTAATTTTAGGAAACTCCATAGTTCAAACAACCTGATGGAAGTTGAAAAAGCACAGGAAAAAGTAGCACGCATGTCACACAGCGAATTTTTGAACCTGTTAAACTAAAAAGGTTCCACTTGTGTGGGGGAAACCATACATGCTCGCATCAAACATTAGCGTCACCTTGGTAAACAGAGCAGTGGGAACTCTACGCACGGAAGTCATGAGTGTCCGTGCCAGACGCTTACTCATGGTTCACGGTAGTCGAGCTGGCATGTTTTTTTTGTTCTGTTGTTAGAATGAATCTTGTAGTATTATGAACCTACCCGGCTTTTGGAATAATGTCGAAGTAAATTAACCTATATTTTCTAAGAACCAGTTCGCAACATACATACATGCGCGCACACACAGTAAACAAGTGCGACCCAAGTCTGCGAACCAGCGAAGGAGTTGTTTGTAGCACAACCACACGCCCATCACGAGGTGTGCCTAACCCCTCGTCAGGCTTGTGCCTATTGTTGATGCCAGTAAGGCTACCTTAGCATGGCAAAACGCTTGGAGTTCTCTTGCCGCTCTCCAAGCGACGCACAGCCCACGTCCGAGCAACTTCCAAGTGCGCAGTGCATTGTTCGGGCGCTTTGGAAACCCCAAGTTTTTTCGTGGTTTTGGCATGGTGAGGCAGAACCACTGCCATGCCAGGACAGCTGTCTCATTGGTTTCGGACATGAAAGAAGTTTTAAAGGTAAAAATTGTTGACTGCAATTTGTTTGGCTGGGTAAAGTTACAAACTCCTCCCCAGACACGTTTATTTCTTTAGTTAATAATTTTAAAAACTAGCCCTACGTTTCGAGACCCTTTCAGTCTCTTCTTCAGGCAATGACTGTCCAGCCTGCTCCGAAGCTACCGCTTTCTTGTGGTTATCTCGCTCTCAACCGTCGTTTTTGTGAATGCATTGTCTCCTCCATTGGTTCCACAGACTGTGTACATAAACGCTTAGCAGAGTCGTCGCATACCCACAACAGCCATAATTCCTCATCGTCGTCAGCCACTGCATGGACAATTGGCACAAAATTCCTTGCAAGTGTTTAGCGAATACCACGATTCTCGTAAGAAAGAAGAAAAATAGCATAGCGATGCTACTACTGAAAAATTCATTCTTGATGCCCTAGTGGGTACCAAGCAAGTGTGCTTGCAGTAGTTACCCCACGAGCGTTTTGAAATGGCTCTGAAAGGCTGCTCTTCGAGCTTTCGCTGTGACTGTGCTGTGCCTACTGCGCAGGCCTGGCGTTTTTCCCAGAAGTCTGCACTTGTGTTTTCTCGCGCGCGCGAGTGTGTGTGTGTGCGCGCGCGCGAGGGTGTGTGTGTGTGTGCGTGTGTGTGCGTGTGTGTGCGTGCATGTGTGTGCATGTGTGTGTGTGTGTGTGTGTGTGTGCGCGCGCGCGCGTGTGTGTGTGTGTGTGTGCGTGCGTGCGTGCACGACCCAAAGTCCTCAGCCAGCTACCCTTCATGGCCTTTGACAACCAGGACAGCTAGGTACAGACCTTCCGAGGACGCTACCTCGGAAGGTTTCTGAAGCTCAGGCATCCGTGACCAGCCTTGTCGGAGGCCCCTTGGAATGGGGCGCCGTCCGTGTCGGGTCTGGACGGCGTCTACACCAAGGTGGCCAGCGTAGACATCAGACCCAAGGAACCCTGGGACCCCGGGTGTTTTCGGCAGCTTGCGCACCGACTGGGGAAAGACCTTCTGCTTTGCGGTGACGTGAGTTACCACCATCCAGTCTTGGGTGGCTGCAACACTGACCTACGAAGCCGAAAGGTGCGTGAAACCTTTTTCCAGGTGGGCCTGGTGATCCTGACCACAGGGGCTTCTACCTACCTTCGTCGCGCAGCCAACACCACCAGCACAGCCATAGAACTCAGTGTGGCCACGGACGGTTGTCAATACTCCTGGTCGCCGTTGCCGGACACCTGGTGTTCGGACAACCTGCCCATCCTGCTTACCCCTTTCCGCGGCAAGGCCCCAGGGACCGAGAGTATCGTGCAGTAGACTTGCGGGTATACCACCAGCTGTTCTGACAAGATACGGATGACAAGAGCCTCATGCAGGTCGTGGCTGACAGTGCCCGGGCTGCAACTGTAATAGTCACAGCAAGGGCAGCCTGTTCCAGACATTCAGCACCTAGCCTTGAGAGCAGCGTGGAGGCGGGCGGAACACCAGGCTCTTAGGAAAGCTCAACTGGAGCTTTGTAGAGTGTTCCGGAAGGTCGACGCCGTCTGCAGACACCATGCCCCACAACGCAGGAACCAGGGCTGGGTGGGCGTCTGCGCCTTCATCGACCGATCGTGGGACAGGACCAAGTCCTGGCGCCTGCTGAAGAGCGTGCTGATGGTACCACGGCCCTTCCACCAAGTGATGTGCCATGCTGTCCACCTTTCCATTCGAGAATGGTCGGCGAATCCAGGAAAAGTGGACCATATGGTGGACCCTATGCCATCGCCAGAAGTACTGCAGGCCCGAATGTGCGTAACCCCAAGCATGAACGAGGCGCAAACTTCGGTGGCATTCCGTCCTCCCAGCTAGACAGCCTGCCATCTTGGACTCCACAGGAGTCCAGAGAAAAGGTATTGCCAGTACGGAGGACTGCTGCCAAAGGCGCTGCACGACGCTTGTCGAAGGGCATGTGCAGCGCACGCAAGTCTATCAGTGTTCCCACACCTGCCATACCACAAGACAGCAACCCACCATTCGCAACGGTGCAACTCCTGACGAGCGCGCCCTTCCACCACTACCGAAACG